AAACACCGACATTTAGGGTATAAATAATGGTTGCTTAGGTATTATCTGTGTAGTAGCAAGTATCCATGAATGTGTTTGATTGCAGTTGATCCTCTTATGGAAGGGCCAATTTACGAACTCGGTGTGAGTACTTCTTCTCCCAACCCCGATGGAAAAATTTGGGCATAGTACGTTTACATTCAACAGCACATGCCCACATTGTTCAATGGCAAAACAATAAAGCATGTACAAGTAACAACCAACATAGTTTAACTAAGTCCTTTATGACTTGTTCAGTCATCTATGGTAAATATGTATTGTTTACTCATTACGTAGATTTCTGGGATTCACGGGAATACTATAATGATACATTCATCCCTGATTACCGACAATAATTGAATGTTTCAAACAAAGAACGGTCGGTTTCTGAAACAAAAGTTACCAGGGCATATATACTTGGTGGAAAGGTTTGGGCATGATACATTTACATTCAACAGCTTATGCCATATTTTTCAATAGTGTGATTACAAAGCATGTAACGTTATTTAATGGGTGTAATATAATTACTTTATGCGTCAATAGGATATAACCGGTTGGATCTGCTGGTATATTTTATTGTAGTAAGTGGTATGTAACTCTATTACACAAGTATATAATGAAATAGTAGATGTTTGTAAATATATTCTGCAGGTATATTAATAATGTACTGAGGTATTTGATGATGCAACTCTGTAAGAACGAATGATAAATATAATATCATGTTATTTCCATGGTATTTGAATTCTATTATTGGGTAATCATTTGGAATTCTAATAGCTGATTAAAACCTGTTGTTGTTGCTAAGTACAACCATTACCTATATAGCACAACTAAACATCAAATTCCACATCTCACACAACTACATTGCTATTATAAAGTTATATACGTTAATATTACATGTATATATATGTATTTGCAAGCATGTTGGTAATGGAATGAGCTATCTGGTGATGCTAACATGTGGGAACAAATGGTAAAAATAATATCATGTTGTTTCCATAATGTCAACTCCGATGTTGAATGACGTGGGCTCCGGGCTAAAGTTATTAATCAAGGCAAGCAGGCGGTGCCACTACAACCTTATCTTTAGGCAGTCCAGAAAATGGTCGAATTGAGTCATTTTGATGGCTCTAATATGTTCATCCAATATGCATTTCTTTATTTTCTCCACCTCGTTATGAAAACATGGTACTGCAAATCGGATGATAACCTACTTGTATTCTTTCCTCGATTTGTAAATAAATACCACAAGTTCACATTACTCGAACAATAGAAAAAAACTAAAATTTGCAACTTCGGGTAACTAAACAAAATGTACATCTACAAAATTAACAAAAATCACAAATTAAATAAATAAAATAATCCAAAATTGGTGCCAAAATAAAACACTCAACTCGGTGTATCTGGGCAAATATACGAACGATTTCAAAGCCGATTAACAAATAAAACTACACCGATCACTTAGGGCTTCTCAACACCAAACCAATGCATACAAATACGGGACCAAGATTTACACCTCAAATAATCGAACAAACTACGGTATAATATCAAGGTCAACAAATCAAAACTTGAAAAAAGTCCAACCTGGCACTTACTTCTTCAAGCTTGTCTTGGGGGATGGGAGCGGTCAGCTGTTTTCTTCACATTTTTGCACCGAATCGGTTGTTACTTAATTTCCGGAGGTTCGAGAGCATCGGTTTGCCTAGAGATTGAAGAAAAAGGGTTTAAAATCGGTGTGAGGGGATATGAGAGGTTTCCTGCTTTTACCCTTATTAAATCGTGAATTAATTTTTTTTTTTTAATTCACAAAAAGAAAAGGTACGCGATTTCTAACTAGAAGTATATAAGGTTACAATAGAGGTAGAGCGGGAAGTAATATAGGTATATATTACAAAATTTGAAGTATTGATCAACCTATTTCGAGTACATGTTGCGTATATAACGGTGATTGAGGGAAAAATAAACATTGGGGAGCTATAACAAACCTAATTCATAAAGTAGGGAGTGCAGACTAACTAATTTCTAATAGGGACTGAATTGCAAGTATATTTGTCTGACAGGGATTTTAATCCAAGTCTCCCATAAAAATATGTACGATTATTTTTTATATTTTTGTCCTTGCAAATAAAAAAAATATTTTTTAAAAGTCAAAGGATATTTTATATATATTATTTTTAATATAATATAAAATATATACTTTTAAGTGGGACAAATAAAATAATAAAAATAATACATGAATTGGAATAGAAAAAGTAATTTTTATTCTTACTTTATTTTTGCCCTAGAAGTATTTAATACTAAGACCGCCAGTATTTGATTGTCCATAAAAAAAAGAAATAAAAAATTAAATAAATAAAAATTTATTACATGAACAAAAGAGGAAAGAGAAAAAAAATCTTAAGTATATTATAGTTTCACTCTAAAAGGGAATTATGTGGAGAGAATTTTATATCTTCTTCTCCATAGAAAATATTTTGAAACAAAGAGGATAAAATGACAAGATCCATACATTTGTTGTAATATTGACAGTGGCGGGTGGTGCTAATTATGGTTCAAGCACCAGAATATTCATGAGATTCGACTTGTTATAAGAACGGCATATCAAAATTATGCGATAAAGAATGCAAGCCTTTATGTCATATATACAAAGTTCCTTATGAGAACACGAAGACTGTGGACAAGAATGTCGATACAAAGCTTTGAGAGAGAGAGAGAGAGAGTTGGTTTGTAACAAATAAAAAACAATTTTGGTGAACTCTTGTTTTGCTCTATCAATAAATGTTGTATATAGTTTAATTGTATTCTCTAATTAAATAGATCGAGTCTGAAATCTCAATTTGAAATGTTCTAAAAAGTTGGGAGTTTAAATAATGTAATTTAAATCCAGTATAAAATAAAAATCTTGACAGCATACATTTATGTATTATAAATCGTGATCGTTAAATTTTCATTGTCTATCATAAATCACATACAAATACTTCAAATTGAAACATACATACAAAGGGTAATCTTGATTGATTGAAAATAAACCATGGACGTAGACATTCATCCCAATGTCAACATTGCTGTTTTTATTCGTCGGGCGCAAAATAGCATGATATTTTATCCTTTAATTTGAACACTCTTAATAATCCTTTTTGATCTCTTAACCACACTCAACTTCTTTCACTATAACTCATCCTACCAACATGAATATGATATGAATAGTGATACACTCTTTTGTCGTCATTCTATTTTTATTTATTCTTCAATTAACATTGTGAAAAACAAAACATAAGATTTGGTTATTGAATTTTGTGCGTTTCTTATGTTTGGGGGACATTGCTAAACCAATGTGTGTTGGTTTTTTATTTTAAATAAATAAATTTTACTATTTATTCCGTACTATTTTTTATAAAAAAAAATATTTTATTTTTCTTACAAAATATTATATCAAATACTATTTAAATCAAAATTAAAATCACCCGTCCAAAATTCAAATCAAAACTAAACAAATCCAATTTCCACTCTAAATGAAAACATCTGAAGAAAACATACACATAAAAGTATGTAATTGAGATTGAATAGGATGAAATACTAGGTTTTCGGTTGGGGGATTGAAAATTGAATTTGAGGTTTGAGAATTATATATTTAAATTGAATTAGAGTTTTGATGTGATGTTTTTCAAGAAAAACTTATTTTTTTATGTAAAATATTTATTTCTATTTTTTGTTTTTAAGAAAAAAAAAAAAGACCATCCGCTTAACTCTAGCCAACTCAATTTGCAAATTGCATTGTAGAAACAATATTGTACAAGACTTCGTCACCTATCCTTTTTATACTACCGCAATATTATTATTATTATTATTATTATTATTATTATTATATGCGCGCTATATAATTATATTACCATATGATATTGTAAAAAGTATTGTAATATTATGATAGTATTGAGAGAGAGTATGTATAAGATAATGTTATAAAAATAAATATTCTAACAAAACGTTTTTGGGATTATATATGTGACGTTATGATAATATTTAGGCAAATAAATATTATAAAATATTATTATGATATTTTGTTTTACATATAGATAATACGATTAAATCAATTTTAAAATTTTTGTATAATATTTTTTTAATTGATATGTATATATATATATAACCCAAGGCCTGTTTACCTGTGTATTTTTTATTCTTTTAATTGAATTTATTTTCTCTCTTTAGAGTATGGTTGGACGGGCATTTTCAATGACTTTTGCTTTTTTTTTTCTTTTTTTTTTTAATGTATTTTTACACATTTTGATTGGCTTCTTTTAACAAAAGTCACTACAAAATAAATATTTAATTAGCTATAATATTTTTAACTACAAAGTATTTTTTGTAGTTAAAACGTGTCATTTAAAACAAAAATTAATTTCATCTTAAAAAATAAATTATGTACTACAAAATTAATTTCGTCGCTAAAGTTTTTTTGCGAGAAAATTCTATCTTCATAGAAAAAAAGTTTTAGCTACAAAATTATTTTTCATAACTAAAATCATTTGGCTACAAAAATAATACATATTTTCTTGCTAAAACTCTTTTATTATAATTTTTAGTTTTATAGCAAAAAAATTTTAGCTATGAAATCATATTTTTGTAACTATATCTCTATTCTTAATTTTCATCGCAAAAAAAAACTAGTTTTTTGTTACAAAAGTTGTTAGTAGTGGAGTAGTCGTTGGCTTATTTTTAGGAATACTCAGTTATTTTCTTTACTCTAATGTGAGTTTTTGCCATGTCGATTACGAGAAAGAATAAAAGTATCAAGTTATTGTCTTTTATCTCTGGGTTTTCTTCCTTATGTCTACATCTGGTATCAGAGCCACGGAAACCCTTTTTCCCTATTAACTTTATCTTCCTCCTAAATCTGGGTCTTTCAACTTTTCTTTATTTTCGACCTGCAAGTTATTGAGAGTGCAAATCACATTTATTTCATTGATATCTTCCTCTCGTGAGAAATGGCAACCAGTTTTAATGTTGTGTGGATTGGTCCGAAATTAGATGGAAACTTGGATTACAATTATTGGCAGATAATGATGTCTACGCATCTGAAGGCCCAAAGCCTATGGGTGTTTGTTGAGCCGGGACTTGCAGATGGAGCAGACGCAAATACTCAACGACAGGATCAACTTGCCCTAGGTCAGATCCACCAAGGTGTTGATTACTCTGTTTTTGGGCAAATAGCAAGTGCGAAGACTGCAAAGGAAGCGTGGGACATCTTGAGGATGTCATACAAAGGAGTCGATCGAGCCCAAAAATCTAAATTACAGTCATTGAGAAGATTGTACGATCAATACGAGATGACATCTACAGAGACGGTGGAGCAATATTTTTTTCGTCTCACTAATCTTGTCAACAAAATGCGGTTATATAGAGACAAAATTGAAGATGGTCCTGTGGTTGAGAAAGTTCTTCGAACCATGCCGATGAAGTATGATCATGTGGTGGCTTCTATAACTGAGTCCCATGATACCGAACTATTATCGGTTGAGGAGTTGAAAGGTATGATTGAGAGCCACATTGATCGGATTGCCGCAAAGACAGAAGTACCAATTGAAGAAGCCCTGAAAAGCCAAATTACTTTGAACTCAAATGCATTTCCGAATGAGGAAGAACCGAGCAGAGGCCGTGGAAGAGGAAGAGGAAGGGGAAATTTTAGAGGACGGGGACGTGGGAATCACATATCACAGAGCAGAGATAGATGTAACAACCAAGATAAATTTCCCTTTCATTGTTATAATTGTGGCAAGTATGGACATAGAATTGCAGATTGTTGGCAGAAGAATTCTAACAACCAAGCACATCTCGCTGAGAACTCTGATGAATGTGGTAATGAAGCTGAAACTTTACTTTTAACCAGTGACATGGTTTCCGTCCCATAAATATAATCTTAATTGGATTGGGTACGAGATTTAAGAAATATTGATATTATATTGGTAGTGGGTAAAAAGTATAGATAAAAGACTTTTTTGCCCTTATGAGTGTATTAGTGTAAAAAATAGTTCCAATTGTGTAATAAAAATGAAAAAAGTATTGGTAGTTTTATGGTGATATGGTTATTTATGAAAATAAGACTATTATTTTAGAATGAATAAAAATGATAAACAACACTATTATATTGGGACGGAGTATTATATTAGAATTTAAAGATATAGGGTGTGCTTGATTTATGTTTATTTATAGAGTTATTTGATATAATATTTTATAAAATAAAATGATGATTCTTTTCTGTACATGAATTATAATAAAATAAATTGCTTTGAGAACATAGTCTAATTGAAATTCAACATCAAATTCCAATAATATTTTTTAGGAAAAAAATGAATAGAATAATTAATAAAAATAAGAGTGTTTTAAACTTGTAAAATGAAAACGTATATAAGGCCATCTCCAATCCATCAATTTCATTTATTCAGTTTTAACTCTAAATATGCAGTTGCTACGATAATATTATTTCAACTATAATTCTATTTTTCACTATTATTTTTCAAATATTTAATTTTTCTTATTATTTTAAACAATTTTTTATTTTTATAATTTAAAATATATATTTTTTAAAATTTATAAAAATGAAAAATAAATTAAAAAATAAAAATAAAAATAAAAATGGGGAGCTATGCAACATCGCCAATTGGTGCACGATCTGTCAACCCAGCGCTATTAAAAATTTCATATATTATAGTTAAAAAAATTGAATTGTCTATGATAAAAAATATTGTGTTTCGTTGAAGTTTTAAAATTGGAAGTTGAGTTGAAATTTATTTATTTACTTAATATTTGATTTATGATTTAATATATACCAGTGAGAAGACCCGTGCTACACACGGAGCAATCAACGAAAGTTTGTTATTATTTCAAAATACATTATTATAGAAATTTTTATTAATTTTATGTTTATTTTCAAATATTTTAATAAATTTAAGAATAATAAATTTTTTATAGAAATAATAATAATTAAATAAATAAAAATAATTTTTTTTAAAAAAATATTATCATTAAAAATAAATTAAAAAATAAAATACAATATCATTAAAAATTATGATTTACCTTTAATATTTAAAATAAAATATGTAATATAAATAAAATAATACAATGTTAAAATAACAATTTCAATTAAAAATATATATATAAATTATACATATATTTTGGACGCGTTTATTTTCAAATATTTTAATAAATTTAAGAATAATAAATTTTTTATAAAAATAGTAATAATTAAATAAATAAAAAATAATTTTTTTAAAAAAAACATTATCATTTAAAATAAATTAAAAAATAATTTTACAAAAAAATAAATACAATATCATTTAAAAATTATGATTTACCTTTAATATTTGGAATAAAATATGTAATATAACTAAATAATATAATGTTAAAATAACAATTTAGTTTATTATGAATAACATCAATTAAAAATATATATAAAAATTATACATATATTTTGGATGTGTTTAGAATTTATTAATTATAATAAATAATAAGTTGCTATACTTTTATTTCTAAATCAAAAATATTATTTATGTAACATTAGTTTGTTTAATGTTTGTTTGATGTTTGTTTGAATAGAAACACTAATATTTTTTACATAAAAATAAAATATAATACATATCAATAAATTAAATATCTATGAAAAAAGAACAACTCAAAATTTTCTATAATAAAATGTAATATGAAAATAAAACTATTATTTATATACATAATAAGAATTTTTGCTTTTACAATATGATAATTACAATACTTTGATAACAAAATTGTAATTCTTCAATGAAAAAAGAATTCGAAAAGGAGATAATTTCATAAAGTCACTCTCTCCAACATTTTCTATCTAATATAATAAAAATAATATTGTTGATGTAAATTTTCAACAATAAAAAGTAAAATCCGAAAATAGGGAATTATCTTCAAATTTGATATAATTAGTGCATGAGATTAGGAATCTCTAAACACTGTACGGTACAGAAAATAAATTGAAAAATAAAACTACAGATTGGAAAATAAGGTGGTGATCCCCAAAATCAATTCTCTTGAATTTGATGTCGATTGAAGATGGTTTCTTAGGTCAGGAACAGACCTATTTAAAACCCTTTAAAGAAACGGTTTGAACTGCCGTCTGGTCGGTTACAGCAACCGCTGTCAACCGCCCAGAAAGTCCTCTTATGTCGACACTTGTGTTAACCGACTCACCAACCGCTTGTGCCGATTACAGCGCTCAACTGTCTCGGCCGACCGCTTCTGAAAACCTCACTGCCTTAAATGGGCGGCTGGTCCCGACCGACTTCTCAACCGCCCAGCAATAACCTCTGGTTTCTTAGACTGGTCGCTAGACCAAACGATTCACCGGCCGTCCCATCAAGCGACCACCATCTGGTCTCTTGTCCGACCTCGTATTGCCCGTCTCATTCTTCCTTGCCCGACCTCACTTGGTCCGACCTGCGTAATGACCATCCTTCTTCGCCCGACTTCCTCTTTCGACCGACCGCCGTATCAGCCGTCCTTCTTCGCCCGACTTCCTCTTTCGACTGACCTCAGTATCAGCCGTCCTTCCTCGCCCGACTTCCTCTTTCGACTGACCGCCGTATCAGCCGTCCTCCGTCCGACCTCATTTGGTCCGACCGCGAGACAACCGACTACGGACCATCCGACCGGACCAACCGACTACGAACCATCCGACAGCGAACCAACCGACCGGTTCTGTTTGTCTTATCTCCTTAGATGGACAACTGGTTCAACAGACTATCTTCTTGACACTTCTTTGCCCGACCTTTGTCTTGACAAACCTCCGTGTCTGACAATACTTCTTCTCTGCCCGACCTTCGTCTTGACAGACCTCCGCGTCTGCCGATACTTTTTCTCTGCCCGACCTTATCACGTCCGATCTCCGTGCCCGACCTTGTCCTGTCCGACCTCCGTATCGACCGATCATCCTTCCTTGTCCGACTTCTTTTTGCCCGACTTCTGGGCCGTTTAGCTTATATACAGACCCATCCAGAATCCTACTACCATTATTTATTATTATTATTATTATTATTATTTTTTGTGCTCAACAAATATATAACTTAATATAAATAATAATCAATTGCGAATAAGAATTTGAATTAAATTTAAATATTTCTATGCATAATAAAATAATTTTTATATATTACAAATAAAAAAAATCATAAAAGAAAAATACACCAAAATAATCAAAGAAAAATCTAAAAATTATATACTATAATAAATAAAAAAAAAAAAAAAGAAGAAGAAGAAGAATCAGAATAATCCTAAAAAATTGAGAAAAAATATGAAAAAAATAAGAAAAATTATTTGAAAAATAAAAAGAAAATTTACAAAAAAAAAAAAAAGTGATTACTCAGCACATTTAAAAATATATTTAAAAATTAATTTTTTCCACTAACACTCAATTACAAACTCACATAAAACCATATTTAAAGAAAACCGTCAAATCACCTAATTTATAAAAATTAAATATACTACTAAAATATATATACAATTTAATACATCAATTTGAGTATATATATATATATATATATGTGATATATCAAATTTATATATTTAATAATACATAAATAAATATATTTAATTTTAATTTCATAATTACTAAAGAACATCATAAACTAATAAATAAAATTTTTGTAACAAAATTTAAATTAAAAAAATTAATTATATACCATAAAAATAGTTAATTATAAAACTAATTTGTAAAAATCATAATAAACTGTAATTTTACGTTATAAAAAAATAATAGTAAAAAAAAATCTAAATCCAAAAAAATAAATATAACAAAAATATAAAGTGAAAAATCGTAAAAAAAATCTAAATCAAAAAATTTAAATATAATAAAAATATAAAATGAAAAATAGTTAAAAAAAAAAAATCTAAATCTAAAAAAATAAATATAATAAAAATATAAAATGAATAATAGCAAAAAATAAAAATAAAAAATTTAATCCAAAAAGTTAAATATAATAAAAATATAAAGTAAAAAATCTTTAAAAAAATATAAATTCAAAAAATAAATATAACAAAAATATAAAGTAAAAAATCGTAAAAAAAAAAATCTAAATAAAAAAAAACATAAATATAATAAAAATATATTAAAGTAATTCATAAATAAATAAGTAAAATTTTAGGAACAAATTTGGTATAGAAAAATGAGGCCAGACAAATGAAAATAATATCATTTATCTTGTTTGTTTGAGTTAGAGAAATGAAACTTGAATAAATTATTTCCTGTTTTCATTTTTTTCCCGTATGCAGAGAAATGAAGAAAAATGATGTCGTAGTATATGCTTTTTTTTTTAATTTTTAATTTTTTTTTGTACTATTTAATTTTTATAATTTTTTTAAAATTATATTATTTCAATTTTACAAAAAACAAACTTAATTTATTTTTAAAATATTTAATTTTTACGATATTTTAAGAAATTGTACTCAAATATAATCTTAAAAAATATCGTATATAATTTATAATTTTTTAAAAAAAATTTACCAAAAATATTTTTCATGAATTCTTATTCGTTAAAAACTCTCTTTTTATCCGGTTAATCATTTATTCTTATTTGATCATTCATATATTGCATTTATATATATATATATATATATTTCTCAACTGAATTCTCTGTTTTATCAAATAAGAGAATTAATTCTCATTCTCTACTCAATTTTATTTCTCTCAAATTCTATTCTCTACTCTCATTTCTGTGTCCAATTCTATTCTCTGCATAAAACGCCCCCTAAAAATATTCTATATAATATAAATAGTAATTTTATTGATAAAAAGTAAAAAATGGTCAAATAAAATAAAAATAAAAAAAAAAAAGAAAAATTAAAAGAATGAAATAAATTTTCGCTACCAAATTGTATAATTCATCAATAAAAATTT